TCTACCAATGCGGTATCTGACCAAGAGCCCTCCCACAATCTACATAATCTTGTCAGTGCACCTGAATGAGCAATTTCTTCAATCTAAGACTTACTTGTACAAAACTCGCAAGTACTCGTCTGCATTTGAGTACCGGGTGTCGTGTTCAACTAACGGAAGGCCAACCTGCCGTTTAATGTGAGATGTAGAGCCCAAGAACATCAAGAAGAGGACCTTACAGCTTTGGAAGCTGATTCTTTCCAGCTGGTGACAATGTTCCATCCAAAACGTCCCTTCGTCAAGTGATCGAGGGTGCTGAAGCGTTTTGCAACCACGTATGCCTGCTCGTACGAAGTTGACGTTGTGATGGCAAATCCAAGATTCTTGGTGACAGCAGCCATTGCGGAAACGGGCTGATATCATGTTAGTCATCCGCGGGGCATATCGGAGGGTGCATGCGCGACGAAGGCATCGCTGCCGAGGTCATACTCACGATGACAGGGTCGGCCATAGGCCATTGGGCGCCTGTTCTGACCGATGGCTCTGCGCTCCCCTTGTATCTGAAAGCCATGTTAGCAATGACGGTGTTGGCTGGAGCAGAGGATGAGGTGACGCTAACGTGTCGTATGGGCCAAAAGTATCGGCCAAGAACAAGCCCACAAACCCTCCTTTATCGAGGAGCTTTGCTAGGTCTGTCCAATAGGTGAGATCGCGGCGTTTGTCTTTGGCTCTGTCTTTGGGATTACGCCATTGGCCAAAGGACAGGTGTCCCACAGTGAACATATCAAAGGCATTGAGAAGAATCTGCTTTTGGGGCTTGGCACTTGTACCGCCGTCTTGACTCTTTGAGGAAGCCATAGTTACTGTGGTCGTTCAAAAGTGTCAATAAAAGTAGATTTCGATACCGTACAACCAATTGCCGGAGCCGGAAAAGGGCCGCTATTCGTAAATTTGGATTTGGCCTAGGTTTAGTTGTGACTTGCTTTGCCCTTGGTGGCACAATAAAGCCAATCCCAAGCCAGTGTCTGTAGTTCATAACATCCATGTCTCTTTGGCGTCATCTCATCTGCATGTTGCGTGCGGAAATCCTACGGATATTTTCCGACAGATACTACCTTAATCACCATCTATGAGGTCGTCGGACTCCTTTATCGGACTTGGGAAACATTTCCTCGCCGGTCTGTGTATTTTCCCGACCAGAAAGAAATGCTGAAGATATATTAGAAGGACGCGGATATTAGCCGGACTAGCCCTGCGAACACAATGTCGTTGGGTTGGTACGCAAGAATCCTGCAGATGATGGAAGGGTGGGCCATGATTCCGCCATCAGTTCTCGGCGCGCTTCAGCGAATGATGTGCAGATACAGCAACGCTTCAGAAGCACTCTGTAAGAGCCCATTACACTCCAGGCTTTATATCGCCATATCAACTTCGAGCACATCATGCATATTCCCCTAAATCCCCGCTGATAAGAAAATCGGTATCGAGATGTAGATGGCAAGCAATGCCGGCATCGGGTATTAGATGTCGGCACCAATCAGTTACTTGACTTTAAAGACCACCTCCGTTGGAAGTTGACCCTCAACTCCTAGAATGGCTTAATTTAGCTATCGCGGGTTCCATGATGAGTGCACCGATACAGCCCGACGAAGTCCGGATCGACCACAATGCAACGGCCGCGAGCCGGAAGCAGCAAGCCAACGCAGCTGTGGCTCGGGCCAATGCCGACAACCTACGAGATGACCCAGAAGCTCGAGCGGCGTTTCTTTCGACGTTTTCTGCGGAAGAGGAAAGGTCCACCATCAACAAAGTTGACAAGGCTTTCCTGCTTCTCATCGGCGTGATGTTTATGATCAAGCAGGTAAAGCAATTTTAAAGCCGTTCGACTCAGCGTACTAACGAATTTCCAGATTGACCAAACCAATGCTGCAAATGTCCGGGTGTTGCAAGCAGGAGAGTCCCGAAATATCATGAAAGAGCTCGACATGACATCTGATCAATACAATTGGGTTGGATCTATCTATGGTGTAAGTAACTGCTCAGTCTTAAAAAGCAACTTGAGCAATCGCCGCGAAACACTAACAGGGCTAGATCGCCTACATCGTCTTCGAAGCGCCCAGCAATCTTCTACTGAAGCGTATGAGTCCTCATCTTTGGCAGTCTCGTATCTTCCTCACCTGGGGAATCATTACGGCATGCCAAGCTGCAGCTCAAAATCGGCATCAACTTTACGCTATGCGATTTCTGCTTGGGTGAGTCTCGAGTGCCTGAATGATATCTAGGCCAAAAGCGTGCTGACAGCATTCCAGGATGTTCGAAGCGGGTATGTTTCCGGGTATCATGGCCCAGTTGTCTAGCTGGTACCGCACAGATGAGATAGGCAAACCAGTGACCTGGTTCTTTGCCATGTCCAACCTGGCGGGCATCATTGGATCGCTTCTATGCTATGGTATCAGCTATATGAACGGGATTCGTGGTATTAGTGCTTGGAGATGGGTGTACCTTCTCGAAGGACTGGCTACCATCGTCTTCTCTGGTGTGGTATTTTGGCTGCTACCAGACTATCCCAAGTCACCGCGCAGCAGGCGCTTCCTGACAGAGAGGGAACAAGAGTTTGTAGAGGCCAGGTTACCGGAGAATGCGCCCCTGACTAACGATCCTGATTTCGCCGGCAAAGAGATTTGGGCGGTCTTGCGAACACCATTGATTTGGTCATTCATGCTGTCGCAGACGCTCATCAACATTGGAGGATACGCGTTGACATGGTACTTGCCTACCATTGTTACTAATCTTGGCTTTGTGGGGCTGCCGAGGAATCAGCTGTTGAACATGCCTCCTGCGTTTGCCGCCATTGTGGGCTTAATATTCTCGGCGTGGTTCATGTCGAGAGCGTATATCGTTCGGCCAGCCTACATCATGTAGGTCTAATTCAAGAGTTGAGCTAGAAGGTATGGGTCACTGACTAGAAGGTTAGGATTCTCATGTCCGGCATGGTTGTATGCTTTGTTCTCTTCTTTACGATCACCAATCGGTATGGCATCTACATCTCCTGCATCTTGGGAACTTTGTTCTACCAATCATACTTCATTCCGTTCTGGGCCTGGAGATCTGCCACACTCTCTGGATCTACGGGGACGGCCTTCACGCTTGGTCTTCAATCGGGTATAGCCCAGCTAGGCGGGGTCATCGGACCGCAGCTGTTCCAGTCAAAGTTCGCATACAATGGTTACAAAACAAGCTTCGCGATAGCAGCGGCGACAACTATCGCCTCCTTTGTCGCCAACCTATGGACTTGGTGGTTGACCCGGAACACGGAGTACGATGTGATGAGAGTGAGAAGAAAAATACTGAAGGCACGAAAACTTGGCAAGGTCAACTTCGATGATGATATACGGGTATTTGAGGAAAGGCGGTTTTACGATGGATTCAAACGGCAGGGGGGAGACTCTGGTGAGGAAAGCTCGCAAACTTAGTGATTTGCTCTTCTCGTAGATAATCATTAGCGAATCACAGACGAGTAGTGACAAAGTGCGCGATAAGATATGAGCTCTATCTTTTGCTGACAGATCGATTCAATTTCTCAATAAGGTAGGTGTCTAACTGAAGAAAATGCAGCAATTTTAGACGAGCGGACCTGTAACCCAGTGCAAATATAGTCAGCAGACAAGAAAGCTTTCTAGGGTTCTAGAGCTCATGATGTCTCGATTCAGGTGTAAGTACTTTGCGCCCAGTAGTCGTGAGTTTGAGTTTGACGCCATGAGTGTGAGAATGGTGGATCAAGGGAGAACCCGTCGAGAATGTGTGGGGGCCACGCCGTAGCGTAAATTCTCGCAACTTCACTGATCCTAAAATAACTCACTTCGGTCCTGACTCAACACTTTCTGAGGGGCCTCACATACCAAGTTCACAACCAGTCATGTCGGCATCGCCAGCTCTTACGCAGCTTTTGGAGAAGGTGATTCCGCAAGGGGACCGCTCGTCTCTCCGCAGCGATGTAATCCCGGCAATCCTTGACGCCATTTCCGGCATCGCCAAGACTCTGCAGGCATCCCAGCACGTCTCACTTGCTGGGACAGCAAACGCCTTTGGTGACGACCAGCTCAACGTCGACGTGCTCTCCGAGAACGTAATGCGCGAAGCTATTGCGAGATGCCCCTCGATCCAGACCGCAAGCAGTGAGGAGGACCCGATCGAGAAGCCTGCGAGGCCACAAGCGAGCGCTGGCGCAAACGAGATCCCTGCAACCTCAGAGGAGTACACCGTCGCTTTCGATCCCCTTGACGGCAGCTCCATCATTGCGCCAAACTGGACGGTTGGAACAATTGTCGGCATCTGGGATGGGCGCACCGCGGTGGGCCAGTCACCGGTTGAGAAGCAGATTGCGGCCATTATTGGTGTCATCGGACCCCGGACTACCGCCATTGTCGCCGTGCGGATCCCCGGCGCCGACTCCGCTTGCTTTGAGATCGGATACGGCCCGAACGGCGTGGAAGATTGCGAGGTCATCCGGTCGGTCGTCAAATTGGCTGACGCACCCTTCAAGACGCGGTACTTTGCGCCCGCGAACCTGCGACATGCGGCGGACGATGAGAGGTACAGCGCTCTCATTACGCGCTTCATCAAGGAGAAGTACACGCTGCGGTACTGCGGCGGCCTTGTACCCGACATTGTGCATGCGCTTGTCAAGGGTCATGGTGTCTATGTTATGCCTGTTACGCCCGGTGTTCTTCCCAAGCTCAGATTCCTCTACGAGCTATACCCGATTGCTCTGACCATGGAGTGTGCGGGTGGCCAAGCCATTGACCCCACGGATGGCAGGCCACTGCTTGAAAAGATTCAGAAGGATTGCGATGGTAGAGCAGGTCTGATCTGCGGCACGACGGAGGAGGTGAGGATTGTTAAGCAGGTTCTTCTTGGATGAGATGTGGTCATAGTAGAATGAGAAGGATTGAGATATTCTTACATGTATGCCCTGTTTATATACAGCTACAAACACACAGCTAGCCAACCCTCACGTCTTATTACGCCCCGGTTCTGAAGTGTTCTCCTCCGCTTCGAAGGTATTCCTCCTCTTCTTTCGTCATCGATCTGCCCAGCTGCGCATTACGGTGCGGATACCTCTCAAACCGCTCGATCAGATGCTTATGCTTCTTCTCGAACTCTAGGCTGTCCCCGATACAGTCCTCGCTCTGTTTGTCCCCCTGCTCTCGAAACTCTTCTTGCATCTCGCTGACAACTTTGATGTATGCCTCGTGGTCTTCAATATGTTCGGAGTGCATCAGCGGCATATAAAACCACATACGCCGCGCCGGCGCCAATCGGAGCGACGGATGCATGTCAGGGCGCGTGTGAAATATACAATGGTTTGAGCGTCTCGATTGATTACTTATCTAGATCTTTGAGATCCTAAAAATCAGACAGAGCTAAATTACCACGCTAAGCCCTCGGGTACAGCCTTATCGTTCATGTTAGAGCTCGAACAAACACCCCGACAGAACGCCTCATCCTCTTCGGCGGATGATCTCGTCGCTTGAACAGGGCCTCTGCGAGCCGGCCACCATTCCGACCCGCGCTTTCTCTCCTCGGCCACATGGTCATGCAGAAGCCCCTTGACCTTTCCAATGACATAGACAACCGCTTCCTCCACATCAGGGTGAAATGGCCCACTTGTGTAGGTATCACTATTGAGATTGGACTGCGATCCGTTGGCTAACCATTTGTCTTCTGACTCGACTTGGCTGAAGAAGTCCAGCTTTTCTTTCAACTCTTCTGGAGTCGCCGTTTTTGACCGATAGACTTCGTACCGCATCAAGCTCGTGGTGGCAGATGTGGGTACGATTGACATCATGTAGAAGAATACAGGCCTGGAGACCAAGTTAGCTGAGCCTGCTTAAGGGCACATGGGAATGACTTTAACTCACGTGAGAGTGACCGAAGCGTTGGGAAACATGTATGTAGGACTGACAGAGCTGGCACGTTGCTCTCCCTTTGCACCAAGGTGTTCAACCCAGTACTTATTGAGACCATAGTTCATCTGTTTATTGCCCTTGAAGAAGGGTGCGAGGCCAGGGTGAGCTGTCGGGCAATGATAACACTGCAGAAGGCCCACAGAATTAGTACCCAGTTTGAGACTAACCAACTATAAAGATCGGAGTTGATCGCACGAACCTCATTGTAATTCTCAATCAGTGTTTTCCAATTGAATTTTCCTTCCATTGACCAAGTGTGGTCGTACTCATAGTTGCTCATGTCGAAGTTCTCTAGCCGGGGCTGTTTATCAACGCCACCGAACTGTTCCTCCCAGCTAAGCGTCGGCTTTTCAGCTGCGTCCAGGTTGATCCAGAAGAACCCCAGACTATCGATATGGCTGTGCACCTTGTAGAGTTCATACTCGCTTTTGTCAAAGTCCTCGACCTGGTCGAATCGAGGCGCCTTGGCCAAGTTCCCATTCATGCTGTAAGACCACCCTGCCATAGTGTTAGTACTGTAGGTCGGAGTCAGAGGCCGGGTAAGAGCGCATACCATGATATTTGCAAGACAGCACAAACGCCTTCCCCTCATTCTCATGAACAATTGGAAATGCTCTGTGGCGGCAGATGTTGAGAAACGCATTGATATTCCCGGCACGGTCTTTAACGATGAAAAAGGGATAACCGGCCATCTCATAGCGAGCGTACTTGCCTGGCTCACTGAATTGGTGGACATGTGAGACTAGGATCCATGATTTACTGAAGATAGCGCGTCTCTCCAGTTGATAGAAGCCTGGCTCACGATACCAAGACGCTGGAAGGGTGCTCTGCATGTTGAACTTCTTTGTTGCTCTTGTCAATGGCTTCAATTTGCTTGGTCAACATGTGTTTGGAGTGAGGCAGAACTTTGCTTGTAATTAAGCTGAACTTCGTTAGACGAAACAACTTCATGATAAACATCTCGGGGGCCGAGAGACCCATCGCAACTCCATCGTCCAAAGCCCAATGTTCTAAACTTCTAATTTTAGCGATGTTCGGCCGATGCCCCGCTGATACTCATCGAAAGAAGTAAGCAACAGTTTACCCAAGATGTGATTGGTGTTCATCGGATATGGGTTGGCTTAGACAGACTAGTAGTGAGATACCATCCTGCGCTCGGACTGCCGGCCGAAGCAGCCGGGACCGCAAAGCAAGCAGACATGCGGGGTCGCCATGAGGTTGTCCGCGGACACCGTACGTCATTCAGAGCCTTGACTTCCATGATAGTGGAAACTCGCAAAGATTGACCCCGCCTTTGAGATGCCTTGGCTAGCTTTCTTAGCCTCGGGAGCTGCGGAGCGCATAGTTGCCAATCTCGAGTCCGCTATTTCCCATGCGCAACTGCGATAACTGATGGATTATCTGATTACACACATTTCCAAGCATCCACAGAGGGTTCTGCAACAGCCGTATCAATCGATAGAATGCAGGCATACGTCCTTTTGGTGATAGTCGCACTCTTTGTGGGAGTGCAGCTCCTGGCAAAGATCTATCGCGGCTTCGCGGCCCCACTCGCATCCGTCCCCGGCCCCTTCTTTGCGCGGTTCACGGACCTATGGTACGCGTGGAGGATTCATCAGGGCCGCTTCGAGGTTGACAACATTGAGCTGCACCGAAAATATGGCAAGTCGTCTTGTTGGAGGGGTTCTACTGGACAGAAACACAGTCTTGTCTCGAAGACTTTATCAACTTGGAAGAATCCAGTGTAGATGAGCTAACTCCTCCAAGGCTCAATTGTCCGATATGGTCCAAATAGATTCAGTATCAATGACCCACACGCAGCGAAGGTGATCTACGGTCATGGCCACGCATTTTCAAAGTCTACGTGGTACGACACGTGGGGTGATCCAAACCCGCATCAATGGTCTTTGTTCTCAGACCGAAACGAGAAGCGCCACAGCGAAAATCGACGTCTCTATCAAAGCATGTACAGCATGTCCTCCTTGGTGCACTACGAGAGCTACGTCGATGAGTGTGCGGACTTGTTCTCCAGAAGGCTCTCAGAGATGAGTGGCAGAGGAAAGACGGTAGAGCCTGTTGACATGGGTCATTGGTTCCAGTGTTACGCATTCGACGTGGTTGGTATGATCACCTACTCCAAGAGACTTGGATTCCTGGACCGGGGTCTCGATGTCGGAGCGGTGATCAAGAATCTCGAAAATCACCTCTACTACGCGACTATGGTAGGAGTATACTCGTACCTCCACTCCTACTTAGCACCCATCAGGAGTCGGCTAGGTAAACGGGGTACTGGCAGGCAATTCATCGTCGAGTTCACCAAGGGTTGCTTGGCAGACCATCAGGCAAAGCCCAAAGCAGTCGATGCTGAGGATACTTCACATCTCTCTGAACAGTCTGGCACAATGGACTTTCTCTCCAAATTTCTCGGAAAGCACTCCGAGGACTCATCAACTTTCTCTCAGTACCATGTTCTGGCGGGTTGTGTATCAAACATGGTTGCAGGCTCAGACACGACCGCCATCAGCCTTAGCGCCATTTTATATCAGCTTCTCCGGAACCCTAAAGAGATGAGCAAGCTGCAAAAAGAGATTGACGGATTCTATTCCCAGAGAACTGGTGATCCTCGACGACTAAATTTCCAGGAGAGTCTGAAGCTGCCATACCTCCAGGCAGTCATCAAAGAGGCATTGAGATTGCATCCCGCGACTGGGCTTCCCCTCGAGAGAGTTGTTCCTGAAGGAGGAGCTACTATTGCAGGGAAATTCTTTCCAGCCGGGGTATGTTGAAACCATGTCAGCATTGTAGACTGATTGACATTCACTAATCATTATTAGACCATCGTGGGCATCAACACTTGGGTTGAGCACCACCACCCGTCCATCTTTGGCGAAGATGCAGCCTCTTTCAGACCGGATCGATGGCTGATTACGGATACCGATCGTTTGTCAGCGATGAACAGACACTGGATGCCGGTAAGCCACCTGTAGAAGAGCTAGAGATTGCATGTTCCAGTGCTGTCACTGACAAGCTGATAGTTCGGCCTGGGATCACGAACCTGCATCGGAAGACACATTTCCATATTGGAAATTTCGAAATTGATGCCCAGATTACTGCACGAGTTTGATTTTGAAATTTGTAGGGACGCTCCCTGGGTTACTAGGAACTGTTGGTTCGTGAAGCCTATAAACTTTCAAGTTCGAGTCAATGCACGGCGATCGCAGGTTGGTAAAGTTGGGGCTTCCTAGGCTTCTGACAGGTTGGACGCCCTTTTTAGAGCACCTGCTGATAGGTGATCCTGACATGGGAACGCCTGAGGTGACAGTGAACGAGTGTGTTCTAATTGAGTCTAGTAAATCACAATACAAGAATTGAAGTCCCAAGATTTTCCAAATCCCATGATGTGATATCTTCAAAGCATTGATGTGCCAAACGAATGCAATCCTTCCCAAACCCCGTGGCTATGCTGTGAATTCTCAACGCCGTCGTGTTTCGCCCGAAAAGCTCGAGCAGCAAATAGTTCCTTTTCCGCTCCATCGCTGGTTCTACTATTCCTACATGCGACTTGTCCGGAGTCTTTGAATTTCATCCTGTTTTTGCATTAGCGATCTTCCATGTTCCTTAACTTTAGGGCGCACGTACTGGCGAGAGATCACGCGGAGCCCGGATCACGTAAGAGTTTTTTCTTGACTCAAACTCGAACTGGTGGGAATTGAATTCTTCTTTAAGATAACGGGAGAGTCTCTCCGGGGCGATGGAGGATCCAGATATCCTCTGGCATCCTTGCTGCTTATTCCGACGTACATTGAAGCTGCTATCCATTGTGTGCTGCTGTTGTTTTCTCTTATGTCTTTTTTTTTCTTCCCCAGAATGTCGGTAACGGATGGTGAGAGCCGAAGAGGAAGATGGCCGGGTCTGATTCTCGGTGGAATGCGCCTACACTTAAGGGCCGAGGAGGGCTTGCAGCGTTTTAGTCCTACCGGGGTATGATTGGTTGACCTCAAGCAGATCACTCATAACATGCTGCAAGACTGCATCAATATCTGCAGGTTTATGGTGCGGTTGCCTGATCAAAGCCAATCACCTGCTCCCTTCGTGTGGTTGCATGTTAAGCTGCATTCCAGAACGCTTCTGTCGAATGAATTCGTTGACCACTTTCTGCTCACACCATCAACATGAATTGGAATTACCGCACAGCAAGCTAGCCCAAGTGTCAGCTGTAGGCTCAGGGTTCCTCGTCGTCGCATCCACTTCGGCCTATGGGGATGCCTTCGCGCACCCATCCACTGCAGCGATGGGGGTGAATCCACTTCCACGTCAACATAGCTCTGCTCCGTTCTGAAGAAGCGGTTCTTAACACATCGCGACTTCCAAGGGTGCACCAAAAAATCGTTCCCTTGCTCCTTTCTACGGCTTCTTCTCTTATTCAATTGGTACGCCATGAGTTCCGGGTTATGGGTACAGTACACGCGCATCTGCGCACTTGCGCAGCCTTCTTTTTCCCCGAGTCTCCAGGCCCCTCTGACACCGACTTTCTCTTTCCCTTGCAGGTACAGACTTACAGCCTGCATGTAAACCCCGTCAGTCCACAGCCTGCCGCTGCCCTGGTCAGAGCCCGTCCATTCTGCATCGTAATCGCTGCTTACACCACTTGGAGGCCATAAAGCTGATAATCGACCATTCCTCTCTGGGGCATTACTTCGTGAGGCTGGCTGTGCAGCATAGTTGCCAGACTCGCCCATTAAAACTCCCTTCTCTTCCACTAGGATGAGACATCGTTTCCGGTTCGACAAACACGATCTTGCTGCTCGAGGCTTCCTAGCTTGATACTTGCACATTTCATCTTTGGTGCTACTAATGAAGCGTACCACTCCACAATGCCTCCGGAATACCATCCGAACATACCCAGCGGCCCCAGCCCCAATCGCCACCCTCGCACATTGAGCGAAGATCTGTCTTACCTCCATCTAGGTGGCAGCATTCCGAAAGTTGTTATTGTCAGTTGCAAATTGGGCTCTCTTCTGCCATTCAAGCTGCACGATTTCCTAACACGAACCACAGGGCGATGAGCACAACCCTGCGCTTGACGCTATTCATGGGAACCAGGGCCTCGATAACGTTCCAAAAGAACGCCCAGCAGCACCTAGCGAACAGACCAGTGTCGGGAACCGAAACCCACCAATCCGCTCGACAGACCAGGCCCAAAGTCCCCCCAGCGCTTACACTGGAGTACCACTAGATGAGCTTCTTCGGAGCCATTACCAGCCCCATCCTCACCCTGAAGTAACGGAAGGATACCTCCCGACTGGCCTTTTGGAGGAACTTGTTGGTCCTGAAGCGGTGAAACAAGAACTTACAGAGGCTTTGGACGATGACTCCGATATAAACCGCATTGCTCAAAGGGTATGCGAGAGCTCTCCAGGGGGTAGGTGTTATCGACAGGTCTTTGCGATTCTTTGCCTGATTGAGAGAGTAAAGTCTATCGAAAAGTTTCTAGACCCTGTAACCGGAGTTTGTGATTCAGATCTGCCTCTTCAAAAAGTCGAATTAGGCCAAAGAAACAAGGTTGACTTGCGAAAAAGAAAAGACCTCGACAAACCCTTGGGGTGTTTCCAAGGTTGGAGACATAATTCACTGAGGTCTTTCGATGACTGGCAATGGACGCTAAGGGTTCCATTTCTCAAGGGCATTCAAGGAAGCGAGGCCCAATATCGAAAGTTTGATGATCGAGTCATACTCCCCTTGACATACCAATCTGACCCCAACGACGATGGAGCAACTGGTGGATTCAGTGAAGTATTCAAGGTCAAGTTGCATCCCCGCCATCACGACTTCAGTCAAAACGGGGCAGATGTAAGTACCCACTGTTTATGATAATAGTCAAGTTACTTCAAGAGCAGAGTCGGGACTAGAGGTGGAATCATGCCAGGTTTGCTGATCAATGGCTAACGCGAATCTCCTAGTGCTTTTTTGCTCTGAAGAGACTTCGATCCACAGATACGGCGGCCTTTCAGCGAGAACTTCAGATGTTGCGGAAATTCGAAAGCGAAAACGCCCATGAACACTTGATTTCACTGCTCACAACCTGGAGTCAGAAAGGTTTCTTTTACTTTCTTTTCCCCTGGGCCGAGTGTGATTTGGTCAAGTACTGGGAAATTCATAGTGAACCAGACATGGGCGAAGACCTCGTCCGTTGGGTTGCGAGGCAGACTGCTGGCATGGCTGCCGGCCTTGCCAGGATCCATGAGTACCCAGGAAAGGTCGATGGCAACACTGAAAATGCTGTGAAGTACGGTCGCCATGGAGATATAAAGCCAGATAATATTCTCTGGTTTCGAAGTTCGATGGGTGATCCGGGAAGGCTCGTGATATCGGACTTCGGACTGGGCGTTTTTAACAGCAAGAGAAGTCGATCTAATATTCCCAACAACTCTGGCATAGGGCGAACGCCTACTTACCGGCCCCCGGAATGCGATATTGAGGGTGCTATGATCTCACGATCTTGGGACATTTGGACTCTGGGATGCGTCTATGTCGAGTTCGTTACGTGGCTGTTGGGTGGATGGGAGCTGTCGGAAGATTTTGCCGAATACCGAATGACGAGATCATCGATATGGGGCCAGGAGTTCAAGTCCGATATTTACTTCGACATTGTACAAGTTGTGCGTATTGCATCCGATGACGACACCTCCTTGAGAAGTATGGGTGCCATGGTAAAACCAAATGTGACCCGAGTATGTATCGTTCCACAGCCGTCACCAGACAGAAGCCCGGACTGATGAATCGTAGTGGTTTGACGGGCTTCATAATCATCGAGATTGTACTCAGTACACCCATGATCTTCTAAAGTTCGTTCAGAACAGAATGTTGATCGTCGAGTCAGCGGTCAGGAAACGAGCGACCTGCAAGGAAGTATTTGAAGAACTGCGACGTATTCAAAGGCGATGTCTGGAAAGCAAAGCTTACTGTGTCGAGCCTGTGCCTTGGCCTCTACCACCATCCAGTGAAGAGTCACCTGCTGTCAAGATCAGGCTCAACGAAAATGCGCTGGATACCATTAGAAAAAGCCATCCGAGGCTTCGCACTCATCAAGGCCGCACAGAAGAGCCGCCAAGGGCGAGGGTGGGACATGGGGATCAACTTCTACAACCTCCAACAGAGAGAGTATATTGAGCGACTACGAAAACCGTCGACCTGAAGATAGGTCTGAGATCCAGGAACAAGGTTACCACACGACTCCAAACACATGTCCTGCTCAAAATATACCTGGAAAAGTTCCCCTTGTCACTCATCCCCTTCTCGTCTCGCGTGAGACCTGCCTGATGCTTGCATAGTGGCCAGGTCCAGAAGAAGACCTGAAGAGATTCCGCTCTTCCTTCAAGTGCCAAAGAATCAGCCATGTTGAAACTTGAATGCATCAATAGTTCTGCTCGTCGCTTACTGGTGTGAGGGACCGCGGCAGGTCAAGGTTCCATTTCCCTCGCGAGAACTGGGTGATTCGATTTTAGCACACAAAAAGCACAAAGAAGGAAACCACAGTTTGAATTGTCTTACTCGAACTCCAATATCATCTCCCGAAGCGTTCGGGAACAACTGTCTGAGCTTCTGATGGAGCATTGTCTCATCGCAATATCGACCACTAACAAATTCCTTCGTCATGATTGCTTGGTGAACAACTCCAAAAGGTTGAGTTGATCGCCGGAACGCATGACGGGCTGCATACTGACAGTTTTGTATGGCCTACCTGTCGGAGCCCTCTTCCGGGGCAGGGTTCATAACGAATCAGATTATGCCTCGTGTTAGCCACACGGCGGGGAACCACGCTCGTCAGGCTACCCGAATGAGGCGAGCGAGACTCTAGGCAAAGGCAGTGTTAGGCACAGACGCGTTACATCTCGCCATCGACATGCCGACAAGTATCGGTTTGGAGGGCGATGTGAATCGATCATTGGAGACATCTTGATGTCGTCGACATCATCGCATACTGCTGTCAGCCCGCAGCGAAGCCTACCTCTTCATTTGCAGTACTTCCAACCAGGCGGAGCATCTATCTTGGCACGCCAGGGTAGCATTGCTTCTTGCGTTATACTGATTAGCTGCTTTCTATCATGAGAAGATTAGTAACGGAGCTTTTGACCTGCAGGAAGGGTGGATACTTCGGAATCTCGACCCCTCCTTTTCATACCGAAGAGCGCCTTGGGCGGAGTTCGGGCTCCTTTGGAGTGGTTGGGCTGCCTCGAGATGCCTCGTTTCACTCTTCACAGAGGCTCGTTTTTGTTGAAGCTTTCGTTCCAGGAATACGGAGAAATTCGGATGTTGGCAAAGGGTTGAGGCAGTTCTCCAATGTCATTAGGGCTGTTGACACCAGTGACTGCCGGATTGAAGTACCGTGTTGTTGCCAGTCTCAAGAAAGAATGCAGCTATTTCCACCTTCAGGATGATCCTACGCTTGCCCATCATTCATTGAATGAAACGGAAATTAACCACATGTATAACCTACCACCACAAATATCACCTACCTGATTAATTGAAACATGGACTGGCTCCTCGATGGGTCATTGCTGAGTAATAGTGAGACCGATCTCGCCAACGTCTTTGAATATGAGCCAAGATCTGTCAAAGTTGTCCAATTAGACGACGAAGATGGGGTAAGGTAAGTCATTGATCAATACTTAACAAAAAGCTCACATTATTGCAGGAGCCCAAACAGTGGAAGGTGAATGATGAAGGTTGGAAGGAATGGTTTCATGAGGTTTGTGGCCGTGTGTCGGCCTCAACCCATAGCTGGTTGCTCTCAGACTAATAAAAGTCGGTGAAAAGAA